CAAAACAGGAAACAGGATTCTGTCTCACTTTAAATTCATTTAAATAATAAGAGACCTGGGTTTAAAAAAGACATTCAGGAAAGTGTTTTCACTGTATCTTTATTCATTACTTATTGACAACTTGAGTTCTAGAATCAATCTAGGGTTTCTACTTCTGTTTCTTTTCTCAACATCTGGAGAACCATTTCATGCATCTTCTTGTGATATGCAGTATCTAAATTCAGTAATTCTCTTCCATTTGCATGTTTTTTTCAAGCTGTGCTGTCACTTCATCACTGGCTTTTCACAAGTCACTGCTCAGTGCAGAGACATGTTCTGCTAGACTATTCAGGCTTTCATGTGTCTATAGGAGAGTGAAAAAGTAAAAGGACTCATTTCAGAATTTCTTTATTGCATGACAAGATTGCCTTTATATTGCAAATCTGAAGAAATAACAGTTAAAGCCTTTCACCCCAATTGGTTATTCTTGTATTATCAAGTTGGAGACTGGTACAGGCCTTTCAACTTCAGTGTTCTGAATAGTATTTAAAATCTGACAGAAGCCAAATTTAATTTAAGGTAACATTAAGAAGAGATATTGGATAGTACCTAAAAAACTTACAACCCAAATCAAAGGGTGTAGTAAAGATGAAAATGGACAGTACTCTGAGCATATATTTTGATAAATCAGTAGTTGAGTAACAGTATTTAAAGCAGTAGAGTTCTAGGGCTGGTATCTGGTTCTTGATAGCAAATAGGATGAAAGCAACAGGGTTTACAGGTACAACAGAATACAGGGCAAGGTATGGTAACTGTCTTTAGTAGGTGTATTGCCAGACGCCTTGTGCTGCTATGCATCATGAGCTGTGCTAGTACTCTGCTTTGTTCTGGACTGTGAAGGGATGAAATACAAGGGCACAAGGTACAAAGCAAATAGCTTTCTCATAAGGTTTCCAGAGTGCGGTACTGCAGGGTTGTGTCTGTACTGAAAACATAAGTTAGATCAGCTTGTCCAAGCCATGAACCATTTGGTGTGATAGATCTTGTGTGAGAAGATGGAGATTTAAAGGACAGATTTTATTTTTAAATAAAGGAAATGGCCACCTTGCTGTCTTAGCTCCCTTGTTCCGTATCTGCTTTACTTTCATCCTTCCAGCAGCTCTCAAATCTCCATTGCAGTCAAGGAGAAAAATTCTGTTTTGGCCAGTGTCATGGTTTAACCTCAGTTGATAACTGAGCACCACGCAGCTGCTCACTCACTCCCCCCCAGTGGGATGGGGGAGAGAATCGGAAGGGTAGAAGTGAGAACTCGTGGGTTGAGATAAGAACAGTTTAATAGGTAAAGCAAAAGCCACGCATGCAAGCAAAGCAAAATAAAGGAATTAATTCACCACTTCCCATTGGCAGGCAGGTGTTCAGCCATCTCCAGGAAAGCAGGGCTCCCTCATGCGTAATGGTTACTTGGGAAGACAAATGCCATCACTCCGAATGTTCCCCCCTTCCTCCTTCTTCCCCCAGCTTTATATACTGAGCATGACGTCACATGGTATGGAATATCCCGTTGGCCAGTTTGGGTCAGCTGTCCTAGCTGTGCCCCCTCCCAGCTTCTTGTGCCCCTCCAGCCTTCTCAGTCGGTAGAGCATGGGAAGCTGGAAAGTCCTTGACTAGTGTAAGCACTGCTTAGCAACAACTAAAACATTGGTGTTCTCAACATTGTTCCCATCCTAAATCCAAAACACAGCACTGTACCAGCTACTGTGAAGGAAATTAACTCTATCCCTGCCAAAACCAGGACAGCCAGCCACACAGCATCCACATGGACCAGGCGAGCCTAGCCAATGTATGTACTGTCAACTAATGGAAGGCAGAGTTTTGTGGGAGCTAAAGATACTGTCAGTAAAGGATACTGGAATGGGAGCAAGCTGTGGCTTTTGTGTTGGTCATCATGGGGAATAAAAAAGCCTGAAATGCTTCATGTGTGCCCAGGGTTGGGAGATGTAGGCTACAGTGGATGATCTTTCTCATTTGTGTGCTGTTAAGAGCTGTGGAGAATAGTGTGTTGCCAAGTCATGTTACAGAATTGGAAAAATATTTTAATCAGTGAACTTTGCAAGTGAAACAAGAAGAAAGGATAAAGTAAAAGCTCACTAATGGGAATGACTTTAGAACAACCTGCACTGAAATATCTTGTATGTTTTGTTAAAATTGCTGATTGGAATCCTTTTTCACCAGGCACTGCACATGAAATGGTGACATTTCTATTGCTTGCTGCTATTACCAGGCAAGCTGATTGATAACCACAAAAATGAATTCTCTAAATTCTCAATTCTCTGCACATCTAACTGCACAGTGATTTTTTCCCTTTGAAAAAAGGGATGGGGATGCTTGATAGCACGTATATACTAAAAAACCAAAGTATATGGGAACTCCACTGATGAAAACATTTAGCTTCCAGTGCTAGATGATGGTTCATATGTCTTGAATAACTGTGCTTAAGTATTTAAGTGAGAAACAGTTCCTATTAAAACTAAATGTTTGAGCTGTAATGTTTATATTTCCTATTTCTAAGATCTGTTACTTGTATTGACAAGATAATGGTTTTGCTGACAAAGTCTAATCCTGCTGACTCTGGCCTCTTAATATTCTTGCTGTGGATGCTCTTAACAGTTAACTAGACTCTTGATTTTTTTTTAAACATCCCCATAGTCAAACAGTCTGACAATGTTATTTATGAGAAGCAGAAATGGATTGTCACTTATAAACTTCAGCCCATGATTAAGGGGTGTGCGTGGGGGGAGATTTCAACTATCACTGAAACCATATAATTTTAGTGATCTAAAGGATGAAGTGCTTACCTGGTGCTTGCTAAATACAACAAGCAGCAGGGGAGAATTCTTAGGGCTTTTTAGATAGAACTGCTAAGAATTTGATATAATGTTATCTGGTAATACAATGAGATTATTTTTAATGGTGGCTTAGTCTTTTGGAATGCAGCAAACACGTGTGGGGGGCAGGGAGCCTATCTGAGACTAACATGTCCTTTAGGTCTGTGAACATTTTGCATGTGATTGCAGGTATTTGAGAGAACTGAGCTCTGTTCCACTACATTGAAATCATAACTTTTCAGTCATGTTGAAGAGGGTTGGGTGAAGCAGAATAAAAGAAATAAACTCTGTTCTGAAATGGCTAGTGAACTTTCTCTAATGTCCTCCTCCCTTGTCTCATATGCTGAACTGTTAGTGTCATGTCTAAGTAGCACAGTTTTGTGAAGGATGCATATATGGGGTAGAAATCTCAGTGAGAACAGAAAATAAGTACCTGAGCTGTGCAATAATACTAAGAAGAGATTGAAATAATATTGGTAAAAGAATCTTGCTCTTGTGGAATATTAGATCCAACCTGTTTCTAAAGACTTTTGAGAAAAGAGGCTTCAAGTTCACTTATGTTTCTGTCTTCTATGTGAAACGGGTGTGCTTGGGGAAAACCCCTGGGAACACTCTCCTTTCTGCTACAATTTCTGTATGTCAGCGGAAGCTGATGGGTCCTATTTTGTGTTACTAGTCACTTAGTGTTGATAAGCAAACTGATACTATTCTGATATTTTAGCAACATGATTGGTTTGAAGTGTATCAGAAAAGTGTGTAATCTTATACTTTTAGTTCTTGACATCTGAACATGAGTAAACAGTATGTGCAAATGCCTCTGAAGCAACTTCAACACATGCGTTATAATATGTTTAAAATAAGAAGGTGGAAAAAACCAACTTCTTTCTTATCTCCTAGGAGGAAGAGTTGAGAAAAAGTGGAGAGGCAAAGTACTTCCACCTAAATGATGACCTGCATGTTTTAATTGAAGTATTTGCTCCACCAGCAGAAGCATATGCCAGAATGGGACATGCATTGGAAGAAATCAAGAAGTTCCTCATCCCTGTTAGTATTTTAATTTTTTTGTAAGAATTCTGGTAGTCTTCAGTGAGAAATTGTCTCTAAAACTAACTTGCTGTATGATATTGCTTAAGTCATGTTGCTTAATTTCCTTCACCTGTGAAAAGTGATGTTTACAAACCCTTTTCATTCTGATATAAGCAGTTATTGGGTGAATACTGTCCACATACGCTCTCACCTCATGATATGAGCTATAGTAAAAAAGCAACTTATTCTCGCTTAACTGGTCATGTGCGAAGTATTTAAGTTTACAAATAATAGTAAAAATCTGAAATATGGAGAAAACTTTGCTTAAGGTAGGGCTTTTCTGTGTTCTTGGGTACACCTGAAGCATCAGCATAGGGCTCTGTTTCACTAAGAATAAATAAATTTGAAGTTGTAGTATTGCTCCCACCCATAATCCTGGTTTAATATTCAGTGCTGAGAATCAATACAATTTTATCTTGTAGCTTTATTTTTCTCTCAAAGCTAGTGATACATGGGTTATACTTGTCTTCTGGTGTATTCTTCAACTTGCGATGTATGGATGTATAAAGTGAGATGTGATTTCCAGTGTAAGTTTGCACTCCAGGTTTGGGATATGTATAGACACTGATGTTGCAGGGTTTCCAATGTCTTTTTACAGAAGATTCCTTTATTTGCTTCTCATGTAAGGACCAACCTCGATTGTTCTGCAGTATTAAACTGCTTGGAACAGCCCAAGCTCTCTTAAGAAGCTGGGGTATTTGAGGTGGTCTTACTGTGTGTGAATTTCCTAACTGTGTTAGCTCTTCAATGAACGTTCTTCTATTTTTATTGGTTATCAAATGACTGAATATAGAAAGCAAAGCATCCTCAAGGTGCATTGATTTCTGTTTTATTTTTACTGCTGAAAATGTTATCCAAGTGTTATTCTTGATTAGTGTCAGATCTTGGAAATGTGGGAGACCTAGCTAAAGAAACTTCACTAAGGTGTGTATCTGAGTGACAGCAGCACATAAATGTTGGAGAGTATAGTCAGTATAGCTGTGTTCAGGACCAGTTGGGGATGCCTGTTGTATGGCCACTACAGCCTGTTGGGAGTAGAACTGCTGGCTGTACTCTAGGGTGAAGCAGCTGGTGCTGATGACCTGACAATACTACTGTATGCATTTTGGGGATTTTAGTTTGTGCTAACTTTAGTCTAGTTCTGTGAAACTATGTCCCCAAGTGACTGGAGTAGATTGTGTGCTCCTTGAGTGTTTCTTCTGGCTTGTTTTTGTCTGAATGAAAACCGGTTCATATGCCCCAATACTACTCCATGACATGAACCAAAGCATCGTAAGTAACAATCATCAGGAGGCATTCTGATCTGAAATAACACACTAGTGCGGATGCACCTTAAGACAGTTAATGCCCCCAGAATGTCCTGGGCATTATGTTCTATTATAAAGAAGCAGGCATCACATAACTGTCTGCAGTTTCCAAATAGCTTTTGTCTTGATGTATATGAAGAGGTAAATAAACATACTACTGTTGAAACATCCTAACTGATTAGGGGATACTCAACAGAATATCTGTAGGAATGCTGGGCATAATGTCAAAGGCTACTGTATTTACATGACTCATGATTTGATTGTGTGAAGAGATAAGGGAGAACTAAGTTCTTGGCTATTCTAGTGAGCAAACAGCTGTTTTCTTTTCACATGAAGATATGCTCAATTTGATAAGTGTTTTTTGCATGCCCTGGAAGTAAGGATATGATTCCCGTGACCCCTTCATCAGAGATCCTTTTTTTCTTCATTGAGCTTGATTCACTTGATTCATTAAGCTTGATAAGTAAGCTTATCAAAACCTAGTCATTACTGCTGTTCAGCCAGTAGAATTACAGGCTGATAATGAGCAATTCCATTCCTTGGTTATACTCTCTTCCATCTCAGTTTTTTGTTTGTTGCATCTTTATTGTACTGAGCTGAACTGATGCTACATAATCTTTTTTGAACTATGAGATCAAGCCAGCATTGTCTTAATTTCCCTTTGGCTTTTCAAATGTAATCTTACCAGAATGGTTCTAGATGTCTTAATCTCTTCTTCCCCTCTGCCCTGCTTGCAGCAGCCATCGCAGGAAGCAATAAGGAGCAGCTTTGTTGTCTCCAAAACTACTGCTTGGTTAACTGCTGCCAAATTCAACTTGATCTTTATTTTCTATAAGGTCTGTTGTGGCTTTCTTAGCAAATTATCAGTTTTATTTCAAGTAAGAAGTCCTGCTATTGGTATATATGATTATGATCTTAATTTGCATTTTTCTTACAATGTAAGCTAACTATACCTTCCAACAACTTCAGATGCTGATCCTAATTTATGAATATGGTCACTGTTCAGTTTTCACATCAGGCCTGAGTATAAAATCACAATTGGTGCTAGAATGTTGGATCCAAAATATCCTTGTAGTAGCTGACTACAGCAAAAATGCCTTAGCCTCTCTTCTCAGATCTTTTCAGATCCATGAACAAGCACCTTTGCATTGAAGTTCAGCCTCAAGCAGCTGCAGTGGTGTGCTTTCCTTTCAGCTATTGGTATAACTCAAACCAAGACATGAACTTCTGACTCAAGGTTTTTTGGCTGTGCTTATATTGCCTTGACTCTCACCTGTCTTCTGCAGGTAGAATTGTGGCTTCTGACTTCAAGTATATTCTTTTGTCCTCCTTTAAATTAGCCAGTCCCTTTGCTCTGGCCAGACCCTCTGGTCAGTAGTCTGTTCGACTGCTAGATTAGTGGGTGTTGTGCTTGATATTTATCCCAGAATTACTTCTGTCAGTTAGACAAAGCCAGGTACTTCTACCCATACCTTCTACTGGGGTCCTGTATTATACCATGATTACTTCAGTTTTGGACAATAGGACTTTTCTTAGTCTGTTCTGCTTAATTTTTGAGTAGAGGCAGTATTCTTTTGACAGCTATAGCATTAATTACACTTTGCTGTTTGTTACCTGAGTTACTTGTTTTCTTTGTCTTTAAATCAAAGTATAGAAATATCTTTGAGAGAACAATCTGTAGCGGTCAATTTACAACATGAGCAGGATTTACATGGTTTTTCCTGCAGTCTGCCTTGTCTCCTGCATGTTCAGTTTGTAAGGTGTGGTGATGAAATAGTATTTAATGGCATTTGGAAGAGCTGGTGGGCTTTGAAAACTCACACACTTTTCTTTAAGCAAGCTGGCAAGTAACTGTAAGGGGCGAGTGTGTGTATAAAGGTGGTTGGAAACCTGGTAACTATTGCTCACTGCCAGGATAAAGATCTGCATAGGGTTTTGCAGGGATCTGTCCTAACATTAAATAAAAAATGTTTTTACTAATAGTTTGATAAATTGGAATAAGGTCTTAAGTTAGATGATCCCAAGAGAGCTGCTGCTGGTTGTTGATCAGGGCTGGGTGAAAATCACAGATAACATCTAAAAGAATGTTGCTTAGTTGGGTCATGTGAGTAATTCCATGTAGGGAGTAAATCTCTTGCATGTATCTTGATGGGAGGATGTTTTCTTCTGTAGGAATGACTACATGTTCAGAGAAGACTGTAGTCAGTCAGGATGGGCAGTACTCACAAAATGAGAGTACATCTGTTTGCTTGAAACTAGTCAGCAGCATTTGACTGAAATTCAAGTGTTGCCTCTGCCTGAACTGTACAGGGAGGAGTGCAGTCTGAAGGGTTTCTGTGTCCATCTTGTGTTCCAGGTGAGGAAGAGATTGTCTCCTCAATTTGACTTGAAGTATGCTGTTTTCCAGCAGTGGGTATTCATAAATTGACCATCTGTTACTTTTAATTGAAGAATCCATTTCAGTCTAATGGATTAACACTGCTGCTTATCATGGCTTCCTTACTGCTGCTTCATTCTGTATCCTCCTGCCTCTGGCATATGTGATAAGGACCATATTTTCTGTTCTGTGCCTTTGTGCAGGGGAGTCCTTGTCTATGACTAAGGCTGCTGGTATGTCTAGTAGTATGCTGCAGGAAAATGAGAAATCATTAGGAGGAAAAAGGACCCAACATGTACAGTGGCAACCTAAGCATGTCTCTAAGAAATTAAATAATACCTTTGATCATCATTTGATATTAGTATTTTTCTAGGAGCCCAATTCTGAGGAGGATGTCTTGCGGAGAAGTTATAAAGGGCATCTATGATATATGCTGTCAGAACTCAGACCTAAGTATTGTGTTTGGTACAGTTTTAACAATTCATGAGTATTTTGTTTGAAGACTGAAGTTTTGTTCTATACATACCTTGCATAGAATTTTGCATTTGTAAACAGTTCTGGTCCAGCAACAAAGCAAATATAAAGTGGGTTTCTGTACAGTAGTTGGCCAGAATAGTGTTCAATTGCCTGTTTCTATTCTATTCCCTATGATGGTTTGGCTGTGTATTGGGTCCAAGCTGGTTTATAATGAAATCTGTTTCTCAAAAGCTTCAATTACGCAGTTTGAAACAGCTGATTCAGTCTTACAGACTTTTCTCTTCATCTTGTTTGCTGGTTGATTTCTGCAGCTAAATAGAGGATGATCTCAGATGGGCAGTTGTGAGTTAAATTTCAGAGCCTATTCAAGACAGTTTGGACAAAATGCCTTTATAGTGCCACTTTCTTTTTAAACACTATCTTCAGAAATGGCATGTAAAGGAAAACTTTCTTATTTGTTTGTCGAAGCCTAGGGGAAGCAGAATGTTTCAAGGATAATTGAGATCTTTGAATTCATAGAAGTTTTAACCTCCTTTTAATGCAGAGTTATGTTTCAGAGTTGTCTGATGCAAGGCTACCTAACAGTCTTTTGGTACCTGCCTGGTGCATAAATGTAATAAACTCAGATTCCAATAAGAGATGCAGATCTCTTGTTTTGTAATTGAATTGTAAAATGGGCAATATTTGAACAAACCTTCCTTCTTTGAAATGGGAGGATTTGCAGAAGATAAGAGCTGTTATATCAGAAATACCACTTCATTCTTGTTAGAGGACCTATTAATATTTTGATACTTAGTTTGTATGTATACATGTTGAGTAAAATATTTATTTTTCTGATTTCACTTTTAGATGCATTCTTTGGCTCACTTTAAGTGGAGGAAAAATGATAGAAAAATATGTATAGCTCAAGAGTTCATTGCTGTATCTCTTATTCCTGTGTGATGTGCTGGTTTTGAAGGTTGGCTCAAGGTCCTTAAACTCTTGTGTATTTTAGAAGTACCGTATTAATTCCCTGTAAATAAATTCAGCTTTCTTTTCAGTAGACCTTGAGAGGATTTGTGCACAATAAGAAACAAGCTATGTGTCTTCAGCTTGTTTACCGTTGCATATTCTAGAATTGAAATTTTTGGAGCTCTTTATTACATAATAGTGCATATATGTATTGAATTAATTTCCTTGTTTAGTCTTTTTTAACTCCTGATTTTAAAAGTGTAGATGTCTATAATCTATTCCTCCTTCGTGAGGGGCTGTTCTCAATAGTGTATTTATTCCTTACTGCTTTGCAACACCAGGCAATGGTTTCTTTCCTGCTTTTAACACTATCATTCTACAGCTGGAACTACAAACCAGATCTCAGCTCAGAATATGGGACCTTGATTTTTTTTGTTTCCCTCCCTCTACAGCATTTTAACATTGGCATTTTTAAGTGGTAATGCTGTGGGGAGGTAATATGCAATGGGAAAGAAAACCATTCCTGAGCAAAAATTGTAATATGTAGAACTCTTTTAGAAATTTTTGACTGAATATGCCTATAGTATTATTCTGCATATTAAACTTTTTCAGTGGGATGTTCAAGTTTTTAAGAGGAAACTTTCAGGATCAGTGTTTGCTGATACTAACTTGGTGGTTGAACAGTTTGGTTTTTTCTCACTCTGCCCCCCTGTTTTAGGACTACAATGATGAAATCAGACAGGCACAGCTTCAGGAATTAACATATTTAAATGGTGGTTCAGAAAATGCAGAAGTTCCAGTAGTTCGTGGAAAACCATCTATTCGAGCAAGAGGAGTACCAGTTCCTGCTTTGGCCAGGTAAGTATCTCAGCTGCAGTGGAATTTGATTTGAATGTACATATTAAGTTTCTCCCTTCAAACACAACCCCCCCAGAGTACAACAGTAAAATTCATGAAGGACTCCCAAAATATGAGCAAAAGATAAGGGAAATGATTCATTGAAGTTTAGACTGAATTGACAATGGTGCTGAAATTTGTCTTATGAAACTTGAATAATACCTATGTTAAGAAACAGTGTACATCATACCAGGTGTTTAGTCTTACTGTGTGAGTACCTGCTTGGCTTCTAACTTCCACTTGCTCCTTAGGTGCATGTAGGGTCTGTGTATTGGCCCTATGGAGCTCAGGGCTTTGAAAAACTGGTAAATCTGTCTTGCTTTGACTGATATATGAATTTCGGAGCGATTTCTCTAACTTGTGGAATATACATACTCCTTTTTTACAGTATTACTCTAAATCAACAAATTTTTGTTCTTATATTGTGTAATATCTGTTCTGCTGCTTTTCTTGATTTTAATGTTAGAGTAGTGGTAATTATATACTAAGGTTCACTTCTTTATCACTGTAATCAGCCATACAAAAGTGCTTGCAAATTAGAGATCTCGTTTGATTTTTGGAGATTGGTTTTTTGCTAATTTTTTGCCATAGATGCCTGTGACAGCTCTGCTACAGAGGCTCAGTATGGAGACATAGTTCTATTTCATGTTTTCTTCATTTTTCATATGTCCTTAAGCTAGTGTTTGATACATAAGTTAGGTATTGTTTTGTCTGATCTTATCACTAAAGTTTGATACCTAATTTCCACTACTAGTATCTAGCACATGCATGCAAAATTAACTTTTCACAGTCCTGAATTTCTAACATCACTCATTCCATCGTCTGGATTTTGGTAAATTAGTTTTTCAAACCTGTATTTTATACAAGACATACACGCTGTTAGGTAGCTCACAAAATCCTTTGTAGTTCATCCTATTGGCTTACAACTACTGAAATGTCTTCAGGGTAAACTTAAATGTTATTAGCATTTGATTTGCAGATGACAGCTAAAAATTGTATTATCTCCTTTTTATATATGTTCTAAAGAAAACTGAAAGGTTGTTGGCTTGTTTGACTTGTCCTTACTTTAAGGCTGGTCTTAAACTCCAAGACTTCTTCCCTTCAAACTGAAGTGCTCTGGCATAAAGATTTCTTGAGTGAAATTTAATGCTATTGCTACTGAGATACTACAGCCATTGAGTTAAAGATCTCAAGCTCAGTTGCAATGCTCTGATGCTTTTTAGCACAAATTGATTTCTGTGAGTAATACTTTTGTCGAAGGAAGGCTTTGTTAAAGGCTTTGTCTTCGTGTTAAATAAAACAGTTTTAATAGCAAGCATCCCTGAGATCCAGGAGAGGTTGAAGCAAGGCTGGAGAAAACTTTTAAAATGAAGTCTAAAACCTCAATCCTAACCTCGCTTTATAGTCTGTAGAATATTTCTAAGATATCGACCCTGATACATGAAACATCCTGTGAGGATGCAATAACTAAGTATGTTTAAGTTCCCAATTTTTTAAGCCTTTATTATTCCTGAATAGTTTCACTTAAAAAAAACAAAGTACTAATTTATGCCTTTTTTACTCCTTATCAGACATGTTGACACTGGAGATAATGCATCTTATCAAGTGCCTTCTTTTAAGAAGACTTGTTATGTGTATGTTTAGCTCCATACCAAAATTTTACTTTGTAGAAAACAATACATTTGTTGTGCTTGCATACAAAATTCTAGCTTGTGCACAGGTATTCCTGTATATGGTAAGTAATTTCCTAATGGTTGTGGTTTGGTAACTTTTTTTATTCTGCTATTTCTAGCTTTTTCCAGATATTCTTGACTGCATTTTTTTATGACTCTAGAGCCAAGTAAGATTTTGAGGGTGAGTGGATGGAATTTGCTGTAGAAGGGTTGTGTTTTGAGCTTACTTTAAGAATATGCTTTTCTTATTGTCATCGATCTTGGGCATATAGCCGCTTCCTTCTGCCCTCTTGCCCGCACTTTCATTTTTCCTTCATTCTAATACTGTTAAAGATGACCTTCAGATGTAATTACAACACTTCTATTTTCTGTGACATTTATGCTGAGCGTTTAACCTCTTTAGGTAGTACCTGCCTCTTCTGTGCAACAAGAGAAGGGACAGGAGAATCTTTCCCTGGTGGAAGTCTGGTTTTCATTCCTTTGTTTTTATTGTAAACTGACATTGTTCTTAAATGTTTTTTTGGAGGTGACTATATAAAATGAAGGATCATCCAGTTACTTTTTAATTTATTGAGCTAGCAGGCTTAGAGAATCCATGATGCTTAATGTGATGCTGTTATAGTGAGTAGCTAGATGTACCTCTTGGAATCAGTGTTTCTAATGCATTTGAATTTCCATCCTGAATCAGTGCAATATAAATAATAATACTACTGAAATGTGAATTGAGACTTCTGATTAACTAAAGACTGCAAATAAACATGTGTTAACATACATGTTAATGTACACCTCTAAGGACACTTTGCAAATAAAGTAGCATTTCCTCTCTAAAACCTCACATTCCTATTTTAAGAATAAATAAAAGTAAGAATTAAGAATCAATTCTGACTCTAAGATATATTGGAAAAGTGAAATTCTAGAGGATGATAAGTCTAAGAACATGGATAAATCTTCCTTGCTACCTTGGGGCGGGGGGATCTAACTCCATGTTACTTATAGCTAGCAATCACTGTTAGAATCATAGAATGGTTTGCGTTGGAAGGCATCTTTTAAAGATCATCTAGTCCAACCCCCCTGCCATGGGAAGGGACGTACTCCCCTAGATCAGGTTGCTCAAAGCCCTGACCAGTCCAACCTTGAACACTTCCAGGGATGGGGCATCTACAGCTTCTCTGGGCAGCCTGTTCCACTGTCTCACCACCCACATTGTAAAGAATTTCTTCCTAATGTCCAATCTAAATCTATCTTCTTTCAGTATAAAACCATTGCCCCTTGTCCTGTGAGTACAGGCCCTGGTAAAGTCTCTCTATCTTTCTTGTAAGCAGTGCCCTCCCAAGGCCACAATAGAGGGAGAGCTGGTTGGGTTCACTGCCCAGATTGAGAGGAATTGTATTTGAAAACAGATATTTTGGTTTCACTAAGATGAGGGGAGGAAAATATAACTTCTCATAAAGCCAACATGTAGGAATAGTCTAATTAAAGAAATGGCTTGCCATTTCTTTATGTTTGCATGAGATTGTTTTTTACTTTTCCCATTTATTATTTTTGTTCATATTTCAGTGTATGCATGGCTGGGATCCTAATGGTTGAATGACTGTCACTCTATCTGGGGACAAATAAACCTGTTACAGAAGTTGTAGGTTAGAATTTGCTGTCAGAAGTAATATGAGGTGATGTGGATTGCTGCTGTAATGTGTTCACATCTTCCAGTTGTTCTTTGTTAGTCACCAGATCAAACAAGTCATTCCTGTCATATGTCTGGAATCAACTGGTTTCTTTTTTGAAGAATATCTTTTTGTTGAGAACGTGTAGGTAGTGTACTGCAAAAGATTCTGTAGCACAAAAATATTTGGCACAGCCAGTTCAGGATCCAGGACAAAGGCAGGTATTATGTTCAGGGTGTTCTGTTTCTTTAGTCTTGTGATAAATCTCCCATCTTTCACAAAATTGAAACATGAACATATGTATTACTGTTTACAAATAAAAATGTGAAACAAAACTTGCATGAGTGTTAACTTCAATGGTGACTCTCATTTAGAAAAAGATGATGAAAAGGCAGGAATCCTAGCTCTGTCTGTGAGTGGTATCTGGATATCAGTGTTCAATATTTTGGTGCTGACATTTAAAATAACAGGTCTGTCTTTCAGATGTCTAATATGAAACCTGAACAAAAATATTTACTGTTTGAGGAACACTGACTGTAGTTGGCTGTGCTCAAATGAAGATAATTATCAAAATCTGGTAACAAAATTTGTTAGATCCATTTATTGAACAGTATAAAACCCTGCAGATAAATCATGGAACTATGAATGCCAAAATTAAGTCCAAGTGTTTCCTCATTGAATAATACAGTGTTAGGGAACTGGTCCTAAATTTCACAAGCATTTTTATTTTAAAGCTATTCTTGCATTTACTTTCCCTTCTGGAGGGGAGATATTGAAAGGGAGCTTCTTATCACATAAACTCAATTTTTGTTCTCTCACTAAAACAAAGTGAAGGAAAGCTGTGAACTGATTCCAGTTGTGATTTCATAATCGGAGTAATTTTACTCAGTCATGCAGTGAAAGGAGAAGCTTTAAATAAAAATCAGTATAATACTAGAGAGAAGAAAGTGATAAATGAAAAGATAAGAAAGTAGACCTATTGCTTAGGGAAGCTGGATGGGAGTATCAGCTAGACACTATGCCTGCTATGGTCAAGGGTGATAATTTAGTTTGCTAGAAACACTATGGGACTACTATAAAGTAGATATGTCAAATTACTGCTAATAAAGGCCAAAGAGGAAGTGTTAAGGAGTTTTCTATGGATGTATTTAATTTGTATGAATTGGTAAAATACTATTTTAGTGGCAATCAAGGATTAGATTAGTACCTGTGAACAAATGTTCTGGGTCCAACATAGTATAATGTGGTTCCGAGTGGTACTAGATTTTCTTTAGAATGTTTTTCCACACATTAAACTCTTTATTCAAACAGAGTGTGATTAATCAATTACAAAATGCAGTGCTTGAGTAATACTTTAACTGTACACTGTAAGGTACACTTTTCAGGTTTTTATACATCAAAACTAACTTCTATAATTACTATAGTGCATTTACAAATCACACTAGCACATTCTAATGCTCTTGTGAAAGGCCTGTTCTCCCATTCTCTAATGTATTTATGATAACTTTATAGAAATTAAGTGCTTCACTTTACTAATTTTTTTCTTTAAGACTACATTGCAAGTATAAATGGAACTGTTATGGGGGAAAGATTCAGTTTTCATGACATTATCTTCAAAGGATGCTGT